TTATAATACCTGCCCAGCTTGGACGTCTCAACACACTGACCCAATGTAACTGGCCGCCGTGCCAGCTCCACAAAGATAGGGTGGGAAGAAACCACTGGCAAAGGGGACTGTTGAAATGGCTTGATCTTCCCTTACTGGGGAAGAACATAAGTAGAGGTACTCTCAGTCCCTTATGGAAGACCATATTCTGGAGACCTTCTCCATCGTATTACTTTATCCTGTGACCCCAGATGCAAACATACACTACCAGGAAATGCACATACTCAGTTTCCTGGAAGGAGGAGCCTGTGGCTAAGGTTATATGGCAGGACGTTATTTCCTTGTCCTCCTGTGACATGATCAGATACCCCCTTCCTGTGAGGCTGTGAAAGCTACCTTATTTGTCTTTTGAGAGATGCACAGCTAATAGCACGTCAGTGGAGGAACTAAGGTCCTCACCAAGTGTCTGGAACAGAGAAGGCTACCAGAGCTGTCTACCCAGCCTGCGATGCCTGTCCAGCTGCCATCAAGAAAGAGGGTGGCCAGGAATGAACTATGGGTTGATTGCATTCTTCTGGTGGGCCAAATTCAGAATACAATCCTTTGGCTGAGCTCTTTGGATTAAGAAACTATGAAATAGTTTCAGTATTGGTGATAGATAGAGAGTCACCCACATAAAAAGAAAGCAGCAACTATAACATACATTTTCAAGAACTGAGATGTCCATTATTATCTTGACCTTTTCCAGTGCCTTGTAAGAAGCATTAGCATCAGTCAGTTGACCTGAAGCCACTGCCTCATGCTAAAAAATGTTACATTTTGTCCTTGCAAAATTTCACTCCATCATCTCTTCAGATTCAATAATGTTGCTGTGACAGATCCAGGTAAGGTTTTACTCAGTGAGTGAATGGACGGGGGAATCAAGCATCTCAGTTGCACTGACCAGTGCATTGTGCATAGCATGCTCCCAGTCCCATGATGCTTGATTTCATGAATGACTGCAGGATGCATCTTTACATAAGACATATGTCCAGCAATATACACTGAACACCTTTTGATATACTCATTATGTGGATGGGAACAAAGAACTATTGATGGAAGCTTAAAAGATGAAGACTACTATCAGTGTACCTACTACAGCAGCCCATGAGATTTCTCCTTTGAAAGTAAAGCCAAAAACCTTTAGGCCAGTTCAGCTAGACAGATCAAAGATCTTGAATGAGAACAAGCTGAAATAGTTCGGCCTATAATGTTAGCCTTTATACTTGCTCTGAGATTTCCAGAGATTCTGACTAGAAATGTCTTTTTTTGTCATCCAATGATATGTTGCTGCAAGTGTTGCAGTGGCACCTAGGAAATCAGACTGAACTGAGTCTCATTCTGCTGGATGAGATCCGATAGAAATGGATGATTTCACAATAGAAAGATGATTTCCCCTGCAAGAGATCCAAAGGTTCATCTAAACTAGCTATTACATTAAAGACTCTGGTGTGCATGTTGTGTTTTTGAAACATGTTACTTAGAGTGTTGTTTTCTTTCTAATATTGAAGGGATCTGACAATGTCACTCGACTGTGTCACTCTCACAAGCCGTGGAAGATGCAGAGATTATGTTTAGCCAGCTTTCTGCGCTAATTTTGTGCTGGCAGGCTGATTTCCTGAGGTATGTTAGATGACTCTCAGAGCTGCCTTAATTTATGCTGGCCAAACCATTTCCTTCTGCAGCATTGCACAGGTGTGGGATCAGCAGAGCAATTCATGTTCCACTCCCGACCGCCCCTGCTCAGCATCTACCACAGTTTATCTCTGAATTCCCAGCAAGGGGACAAATGCTGCCACCAAGCTTAGAAAAGCGTTATTGACCCGAGAGTGCACAGAGAGTCTCTGCAACAATACAAAGTGCAACTACATCGCTCTGCCACACTGCTTGCATGTGAATTTGGAGAAATAAAATTTTCATTAGCACTCCCAGTTTTTTGCTACGATTTTAGTCGCATCAGGCCACATAGCAGGGCAGAAGGTTGCATCTAGTTCCTTCCCAGATCCGATCTCTTTTGATTTTGTGTTTGGCAAAGTAGATGATGTTTATTTGTCAAGCCCTTCTGGAATGGAAGTTTAGACTCAAACTCTTCGGCTGAAAGAAACCATCCAGTCTTCCTGCAGGTATTTCGTGGTGTAAAGGTACAATCTAGCTGCCACATCATTGCTGAGTCTGGAGTTTAAGCCAGACACTCAGATAAATCAAAGCCACACCTGCCGCAGGCCAGTACCCATCTCTATTTGATTATGTTGTTTTCTTACAGGAGATTTTTGATGGCTGTAGCTAATCTCGAATCTTAAGGGCGATAATTGGACAAATCAGTTTAGTCAAGCAGCCAATTCTGTGCAAACCTAAGCAGAATAGTAATGCGTGACTAATACACAACAGCACTCTGCGTGAGATAAAGATGTGTGTGTAACATATGCAACACAAACCAAGACTGCGAGAAGAAAAGGCAAAGATATTTAACAGTATATACGTGCTGCTTCACTCCAAATTGTGCCCTTTCCTGCAGAACAAAGGCAGTGCTGTAGGGGACAGTGAAGCACCACCTTCACTTTCTGTCATCAGGTACCCCGAGATCCCTTTGTTCTCTCTTCCATGTTTTCCAGTCTGGAAACAAGTGAGAAATTTCTCACCCCTGATCCAGCTCAACAGACTCATAGAGCATCTACCTGCTGATAAGCCAAGAGGCTTGTTTTTAAGGAAAATCTGGGATGCTGTAAATCTTGTTCTCTGTCAGGTAACAACAGTTGCTGGTCTTGCAAAAAAACCCAACAACCACTCTTTTTTTTTGTTTTGAGCAAAGAAAAAATCATTGGGTGTTCCCAGCTCCCTGGCCTTAATACTCAGCCTGCACATTTTGGTATTTAAACTGAATGCCTCTTAAACTGAAAAAGAAAATAAAAATAAAAAGGATTTCTTGGAGCTGAGGGGGAGAGAGGGCACAGATACTTTACACTGCCATGGCCACTGGATGGTGAATACTTGGTCAGCAGACTTGGAGCCACTGAAGAACATCCTAGGAGATGACCTGTTTTAAACAACAACCCCCTCCAGAAATGATGAGTAACTACACTCGGGTCCGTGGATCATGTACAGTAACTTCAGTGGATCCCAGAGATACTACAGCTGCCCTGCAGCAGTGATACCCCTCTGTACACACCAGAGATGTGGGCCGACAAGTGATGTCAGAGCTGCCACATGGGTCGGGACCGATTGTCGTGTATCTCCAGTCCCTCAACCAGGGATGCAGTGAGCCCAGCACAAACCGTTCCCCATGCACTGCTCACCGCAGGATGGCGGAGGAATGGCTCACGGCAGTGAAATGATGCTCCTGCGGGTACTGCTTTTCGGGAAAGAAGCAACGAAGTCGTTTTCAGGAGAGGAGCTGAAAGCAGGCTCCGGGCAAAGGCGGTGGGTCCTGCTGGGGCTCAGTCCCGGCACGGAAGGGCAGGGGCTGTCGGCGCAGCGCTGCGCCCCTCACCGCGGGGCTGCGCCCATCACCGCGGAGCTGCGCTGACCCCTGGGGGACAGCGCGGGCACTGCCGCGGCAGCAGCCTGGCACAGCAGGGCTGTCCTGTCCTCTGGTGGGAGCAGCGCCTTGGTAGGGCTGGCTTACAGTGAGGGAGCTCCAATTGTCAACGGGTGGGTATGGACCACTCCTCTGCCTTCCCCGAGTTTGGTGTTCAGGAGTAAGGTCTTGCAGGCGTGGTGTATGCTGATATGGAAACATGCCACAGTGCTTAGGGACACTCAGGAAAAGCTAAGTACATTTTAGGAATGATTAGGAAAAGAACAGAAAAATCCCATGGTGTTACAGCCCTACATGTGCAAACCACCCAACATCTCAAGTGCTCTCTGCTGCTCTGATTCTTCATCTCAAACCCCATGTATTCTGTGTGTGAAGGAGACACCGACTGCGATCACAGGTAAATTCTGGAAGAGTCACAGACGTCAGAAGGCACAGACCTGCTGGGGTAATGAGTTAACGCCTCGCAGTGGGTCATGTATTGAGGCTGACTGCTGAGCAGTCATACCAGTGCCACCGCATCAGCAGTCGTGTTGACCTCTGATGAAGCATTGGAGCACCTGAACTCTAATTCAAAGGGTTTTTTTTCCAGGTGATTGTTCTGCTGGGAAGCAGACAGAGCCTGACCAGATGGTAACCAGCTGCTTCCTTCCCTTTCCACTGAAGGCTGGTCTTCCCAGAGGGGCCAACATTTCTCGGTTCTCCACGTTTCTTGCTGGTATAGCCTATATTGGCAGTTGCACATGGCAAAATAGAACTCCTGTGACTCTGTTCATCTGTATATTTTTACGTTTTATAAAATCTATTTATGTATAAATATTAATATATACAAGGCCTTAATTCCTTCTTAAGAGTTGTTTAAACTTTTTAAAAAAATATTTGTTTAAAAAAGAGCAGTTTAGTATCTAAGACGTTTAAAATGTTATGGTTTCCACCCTTCTAGCATATTTTTTCCCAGGAAGATATTTAATACAGTTCTTATTACCTGTAACTTTCTAAGCAACATTAGCTGTGGTTTCTTACAAATTTAATTCTTAAATCTCCTCTTGCAAAGGTCCCTGTGTCAGAACCACTAAATCTGGTAGGGGTTGTCTGCAGGGTGTTTCCTTCAATCCTTTGCCCATCTGCTCTCCCTCAACAGATATGAGTTCTCTTGGTTTCCCCATTCTCACTTTTTGCCTCTATCCCTGCAAATAAGTTCCCCAATGCCAGCATGCAGAGCGGGACAGATTTGGTAACCAGCTCCAAAGGAGCAATCTCTTCTGCCCCTAACCAAAAGGACCAGACTGTATGGGGACCTGCTGTGTAGAGGAACATCAACTTTATTTCTACATTCAATAACTTGAGACTATCATAGCTCCCCATGTTGGGTCTCCCCAAGCTCAGGGCCACTGAGCTTTCTTACAGTATTTTTCCTACAATCTTTCACTGTCTGACCTGCCTTCTTGCTTCACTGTTGTGGCTTTTCCTTCTTTTCTTCCTTGATTTCCCCTTCCACAGGCTTTTGTGCCGACTTCTGGTCTTTTAAGTGACTGATTGAAAAGAAAGAGGTGAACCAGTATTAATGTAGTAAAGTGAACCTTCTATGTCAGGTATCTTAAAGCTGCTGAGAGGATTTTGAGAAAACAGCCTGAGGTGGGAACAGTAAGGACAGCAAAGGTCACAGCTATTCTGACTGTTGTCTCTGAGGTGGCTATTACCACTACCACACATGCTGCAGTGCTAAAATGCATTAAGCAGCTAGATAAGGCATAGATATTAGTATTTGTTCTTCTCTACATGTCAACTCAGCAGCATTAATGGCACCAAATGAAGTCTTTGCTGACCATTTGGTTTAAATGGTTCCTAATTTGCTTGCTTACTTAACTACAGTACTATAGTTTGTGCCTAGAGTACTTGGGAACCCCATGTAACCTCTGGTTCAAGATTAACCAGGTTAAGGCCTGTCTAGTGTCTGAGCATGGATGCTTTCAGTACGGCACTGTGTGCAAGGGGATAAGGACCAGACCTAGTAAAGTAATTAGCTTCTCTTTGAAAACATTAGGAAGCTAAGAGGTGAAGAGATTTGCAAAATTGACCCATTGCTTCTGGCCTTAAAACTAGACTACAGCATATATTTAAACCCATCAATATGTGCTGAGGAATGGGAATATTTGGGCATGATTAATAGGGCTTTCAGCTGATGAGTCACACGCCAGAACTGATGGGAAATCTAGGGGGAATTTTGGGTCCAATGACAAGCGGTTTAGCCTGCAGCAACTGACAACCTCCAAGGAGTTTGCTGCTGACTGCTCAGGCTCTCAGAACTCGGACATGATTGCTACAGGCACTAAGGAAGAGGCACTTTCAAGAGAATGAAAACTTCTGTAGTTTGAAGGTGGGTTTCCAGGGAAAACTAGGTCTCCTAAGAAGAAGGATCAGAGAGAAGGAAAAAAACGAGAGTCCCTGAGGCTGGAGGAAAAGGTCTGAAGTCACAGATATGCTGTCTTTGCAAATCTTACCCTTGCTTCAGGGAGAGGACAGCGTTGAGCTGATGCTTCTCACACAGGCTTATGAGCATGAATGAAAATGCCATTCAGCTCTGAGATCCCTGCACTCTCAGAAAGTTTATCAAACGGAAAAATAAGGCTGACTGCTGGTTTTACTCAAGAGGGCTTATAAGCATGGAAGGTGTTATTTCATCTAGCTTTTACTTAAACTGGCCAAAAACACATGTCCCTTCACCTTCTAAAGTGAATAAGGATATGTTTATTTGGTGTTGAGCCAAATGAAAAAAACCAGACAAGTCAGACTAGTAAGCGGAGTCACTCACTCACCTGTAGTCCACAGCCCCTGTCCGATTCTGGTCTAATGTGTGCACTAGTACCCCAATTTGGACTCGATTCAGTGGGATCTTTGATTGCTAAGAGGAAAAGGTAAATGTTAGCAAACGTGGACATTTTCAAGCAGAAAAATCCTCCGTATCATACTGAGACTCATCATATTTTAATAGGTGAGCAGATGGCCCGGTGCATGGAAGAAGGGACAGAAAAAGTCCACAGAGTGGTGCTGGGGAGGCAATTTCACTCTTTTCAGATTAGACTGACCTTTTTTTTGCATGTTTTTTGGTAAAATACCATCATGACTGGCTGATCATTGCTACTGATCCCAGGCACCATGGTGGTTTTGGCAGAAAGAGCGTGGAGGCAAGGGTTTAAATGCCTCTTTTTCACTTTCCCATAGCAGTAAGATATAATTATCTATCAAGATCCTGTATCTCCTATACAATCAGCTGGTCTCTGTGATTTTACAAGGCTCCTGTGATACTCTGAACTTGATCCATTATCACTGATGCCATCTACAGTATTTATGAAATGTCACAGTGTTTCTGTTGGGTCTCAGCTTTTGTTCAGGACTCAACTTTTGCAAGAGGTGAATTTAGCCTTTTGGTTTGAACACTGTCACCAGCAGGGCTCACTGGTGGCTGTGTGACAGCAGAGGCGTTCCCCAGAGCAACACCTTGCCAGAAGAGCATCCTGGCTGTGCTTGCAGAGACACACATGCATCATGGCTCTCCGGAAGGCTGCCACAGGGATCTTCATGGTGCCACTCTTGTCAAAGTTCCTAAAAAAGTCCCACAGTTGTAGGTTGTGCTCTTTCAAGTACCTCTAAGAGAAGCAGAGATAAAACATGAGCTTAGCCATGAAACAGCCACTGATACCTGCCTCCAGCTCTCCCCTTATTCTCCTGTCACCCTGCCTTTACTCAGCCTATCACTGAGATATACGAGTCCATAACTTCTTGTGCAGCCACCCTGTTGTCAGAACAAAATTGTTTTGTTCAGGTTGATCCTATTCTTCTCAGTTATACCTCCTTCTCCCCCTACCTTGAAGTGAGACTCAGTAGTAAACCTGTTTCTTCTGATAATTGCTTGTGACAATTTGGTCCTCATTCCAGCAGCCACTGCTTGGCTGGGCTGCCTAACCCAGAGCCATTCCTCTTCCCCAGATCTCCGATCACTTTAGTTGCTCTCCTCTGCATTCCCTTCTGTTTGAATGAGGACACCTCTGAGTACCATAACTGCTGTTAAAAACTGCAAAGTGTGCTAGCGTGAGTGTCAGTAGCTGTGAAGCACAGCAACACTGTTTGATGTGAGCTAACAGCCCAAGCTTTTGCTTAAGTTCATCTGAATCCATATCTACAGCGAAGTCTCACCCAATTAGCTAAAAATCTGCACAGCAGCTATGAAACACAGTGAAGTTGGTAGTGCAAAAGTGTTATTCAACTCAGCAATGCTCAAATGCTTGCATTGCCTTCCAGAAAGGAGGACAGCACCATCTGCTGCTATCTATAGAAATTACAGACCTTGTAAAGCTAAGGAATTTCTGTTTGGGACAGTATTTGCTTGTAATACTTCAGTCAGTGAAGGGTTCTGTGAAAGTCAGCTATTGCAGTGGGCTTATGCTGAGGATAGACACTCATTTGGATCAGACCTGAAATCAATTGGGTTGTTTTACACCACGAGCAAACATCAATTCAGATTATTTTTTCCCAGTGCTCTCAGATGCCAAGGCATTAGCTTCTCCTGAAAATCAAAGGATTTCTTTAGTCAGTCTGCATGGGCTGAGATATGTGAACACTGTGACAGCCTTTGTGAATATGCTTTTCTGAAGGAACCTGGCTGAATTTCCCCTTGGAAAAAAACTTATCCTTTCCAACTTCTATTCCTCCAAGTGCTTGGAGCATGTGTACTGTGTACAGGGGAGCTGTGGACTCAAATTCAGTAGCTCACCTGAATCACCTTCGTGGGATTTGGATGCTGATTTGGAATCTTGGAGATACAGCCTTCGACCTCACCATAGATGACATCTAGTTCAGGATGCATTTGACACACCAAATTCAGCATCTTGATGAAAGTTTCATTCACCAACACATTCTGGTATACAGGAGGAAGAAAAGTGCAGTCAGCATGGACACTCAAAGAATGACAAAGACTTGTTTGTATTCACAAATCTATCTAAAGTCAACATGAAGCGTTGTCTCATAAGGGTGGTGCCTTCTCCTATCTCTGCTCTTCACTTTCAGGAATCTCATGGAGGCCCAACCCTAAATAAGTGTTGTTCTTTGTCTTTTCCCACGTCTGAGACAGAAAAGGGTCTACCAATTTATTAATTAGCTCAATGCAAGTACGTGTTCATTAGGTAAATGTCTACACCAAAGACCTCTTAAGTTAGGTGATTCAAGTGATTCATGTTCATCCCTCAGACAGTGCTAGGTGGGTCTCGTCTCCATACAGCTAAGATGCAAATCACAAGTTGAATGTTTAATGGCCAAATTGTGCCACAGAGTTCTGCAAAAATAATAATTTAAAAAATTTATCCAAGGCCTAAAAGGATTAGTGTCTCCAGCAGTGCAGCTTTATAGCCCAGACAAGAAAGATGCACCTATCTGGGAAGGGTCCGGGCGTCTCCAGATGAAAAGAACTTTAGATAAAGCTGTGTTCCACTGTGTAACCCTAATAGGGAGCTCCAGACAGCAGTACAAGACCTGATGTTTGTTTTTTTCCTAAGACTTTCAACCAGGGTAGTGACAGCTCAACATTACTGAGCTCACAGTGTGAGTTTTCTGGTTTAGCATCTACAGAATGGGCAGCAGCACAGTGTCCTGATTTAGGGTTCTAGGATATTGGAAAGTAAGCTATCAATGCAAATATTATTGATGTCATTGTGATTTATTCTTCCAAATTTAAGTTACAACAAATAACTGATCTTTTAAAAACGTGCTTATGATTTTGTTCATACCCGTGATGACAGTGAATTCTTCATGTATAACCATAGAATGGTAATTTAGTAGTTGGAAAATTTAAGACTATTCAGGAAACTCATGTAAGCTTCTGTTTTCTGTCATTGTGGGAGGTTCTCAAGGCATCAAGCACTGCATTTTTTCCTGAAGTTTATTTACAAAGTTTCCCAATGCATTTTTATAGCCTTGTTTTTGAAGTTTAAGACCTACCGTTCTTAAGATCGATCTAGAAGCTCATGATCTACTGTGCCGTGAGCTCTTGACTGTTACTACTTGAAGACAGCCTTGAACAAGTCTGCATGTGGCAGTGTTTCATTCAGCACCAAGGGTTTTGTGGCTGCAGTGACTCTGAAGAAGCCATTCAGACACGCCTGCACCATGCACTATGCATGGTGGTGGAGTATTCTGGTCCTGGGAACACAGCACAGGAGAGCTGGAGCTGGCCCTGCTGGCTGCCAGCTCTCCCCAAGGCTTGCCAGCCCATGAAAGAGTCCGGGGAACAGTCATGCTTAGAAATGTCGTCAGCAGTAACAGACTCTTGTTAAAAATGTGCCTTTCTATTGCTTCACCTTTGCTAGCGCTGTCAAACCCATGCAAAGTTTTCTAGATATGATGCCTATTCAGCATTGCTCTTACAGACACACTAATTATTCACTCTTTAAAAGATAAGCATTTATCAGTGGGAAGAGGGGCAGAAGAAGCTTTTGTTTATGTCTGCATCACAGGTGGAGTGAAGTCTGTCAGCCAGATCAGATGTTCGTGCACAAGCATTTGATTGGGATGCTGAAATGTCACTGTAAATTTATGCCATTGGCCATTTATCTTGTGAAATGCCAGGTAATTTAGACTTCTTGAAGGGTAAAGTGAAGAAAGGATCTGTTAACCCTAAAAAGCAGAAATCCATAGTGAGATTTAGGTTGGATTGAAGATTCTTAATGTTAATTAACTCCTTGCCTCACAATTTCTCAAGTGCCTCCTTTTAAATAAATACATTTCAATAATTTCTTTGATTTCTCAGAACTTAGCTAAAATACATTACTCTTCCCAAGTCTATGAGTTGTTTAGGTTATTAGTAATAAAACTAGCAGAACCACATATACTGTAATGAGGTCCTTCACCCCCACATAGCCTGTTTTAGTTTTCCTTTGCAGAATGAGGCCTGACTCCTTGCAGACTTGGCAAATAATTCACTTTGATCTTAATTTATGCAAGAAAAATTGTCTGCCCTAGAGGAATGCCTGTTCTTCAGATGATCTCTGTTGAAAGCCCTCGGTACTCTCAGGAAAGACTACAGATGAATATTATTTATTCTGATTTGGTTTAGTCTCTTTCTTTAGTATGATAGCCACAGAACAAAGATACACATGCAGATGCAACTTAGATACAATCCATTATGTGAGTCTCCAGAACTGCTCATGAACTCTTGTTTGTCTTAAGTGTGAACATATTGTTTATGTTCCAAGTCCCAAACTTAATCTTTGTGAAAATGCTCTTTCCTTTAATCATGGTGCCCCCAAAGGAGAATGGAGGGCCCTGGGGCCCCTCATACCTTCTATATCTGCTCCCATGAAGCACCAAAGCATGGATGGGAGGGCCAGGAGCAGGCGGATGTGTGCCTAGGTCTCTTCCCCATGTTGGTGTGCAGTGCAACCCCTGCCCTCACTCAGGAGCATTTCTGGGCCTCTCATTTTAGAAGCAACACATGAGGAGCAACATCTGTTGTGCTCCCAACTTGCTATGAAGTAGCATACTAAGATTTGGCCTCTTGGATTTTTTTTCCTTCCACACCAGCCTTTTAATGTTTTCTGTTGTTGTTGTTGCTGGTTTTGGCTTTGTTTGTTTTTTTCTTTTTAAATAAAATGGCTTTGTTTTTGATGCCTTGAAGCTTCCAACTTCTACTCATTCATACTGACAGGGTATCAAAGCACTTCACAGTATCTAGCATCTTAAGCTGCCCTGGAGGGAGACAGCTCAGGGGATGAAGAGAATTCCTCCTCCAGTGGAAATTAACTCCTTATTCTTGTTCAGCTATTGCAAAATAATAGAAAGGAGTGAAATGTGGTGACACTACAGGCACTTCTCTCCAGAACTAGACCCTGTAATTTCGACATGGCTCCTAGAAGGGCTGTCAAGTAGTAGCCTCTTTTTATTAATGGATGTGCATAAATAAAACAAACAGCAGGTCTCAGACCAGTTTTGGAACAAGGCAGCTCTGTGGTCCACCCAGTTCCTAAAAATATATAGTGTATGGTCCTGGAGGCTTTCTAGCATATAAGCTCTTACTGAGATGTCAATCTCCTCCATCATGGAATTGGTGTTCTTCTTGACTGTTGTGAGTAGTGCAGTGGCACCCTCCATGGTCAGGTGATTATTTGCCATCTGTGAAAGAAGAGACATAGATCCAACACAGAATAGAGGCATTCTTACCCTGAGACCTATGCCCAGTCCTACTGTCCCCTTCCTCCTCAGGTGGTTCCAGCTCAGGTCCAGAATCTCCAGTGCTACATTGCTGGCTAGAAGAGAGAAACAGAGATGTTAGCTCATGAAGGGTAGTCTGGACACAGCTGCTGACCCACTTAGCGACTAAGAGAAAGTTTGCTGGTGGTTCAGCAATAGCCTTCATTGGTTGTAGTAGGAGGAGCCTGTGCCTATAGAGTCTTTGCTGTCCACAGCACCCAGAGAGCAGAGAATGAGCTGTTTATCACAGGCAGAAAGGGAGCACAGGGGTTTTTTTCTGGCTTGATCAAAGAATAAGTTCTGAAGGAGGAAGGTAGAGAGAGGGAGGATTTCTTATATTAATAGACACTGTGTTTCTCACTGTGAAAAATGGCTGGATTCTCCTTGCACCATCTAAAATACCAAGACTCACTCTATGTATATTTGATTAGAGGAGAGAGGAATTCAGCTTCACATGGTAGCTGTGCCCAGCTGTATATGTGCCTGTGCCGATTCACATGCATAGCACACCTCACGGTGCAAGTTCTACTTAGAGCAGGGTATGTGTGAATTCATTTGGGTCTGCTGCGATGCTGGGAGGGGTAGGACTTGCTGCCAACACTTGCTTCTTATTCTCAGAGAGAATTTCCCAGATTCTCATCTGAGAATGAGATGAGAATCATCTCATCCAGATTTCCCGTGGATGGGAGGTTGGATGGAGGCAGATGGTGAATTTAGCTGACTTAGAGATATTCCTTTAGGAAACAAAACAGAAAAGTAACAGATTCTGTAGTAGTCTCCGCTGTTCCTGCCTCAAGTGAGCTGGAAGGAGAAGAGCTGCAAGACCTTTCATTTTGGAGGGGGCTTTTTCTGGGCTAGGAAGGTCACAAGTTTTAGCACTGATATCTGTGTTGCCTGCAGGCTTGCCCAAGGCAGGGGCATAGTGCCTTGTCCTCACTGCAGTTTTAATTGATCCATCTTTTAAAGACATGGACTGTAATTAGAAAGAGATACACATCAGTGGAAATACTGAACCAGGAGAAGGAAAGTGTTAATGAAACTGAGGGCATTGTGGTACTGCAATGTTCAAGGAACACGGGATGCTCACAGCACACACTTGTGGCCATTATGGTTTCACACTGAGGGAAGAAGAGCTATCAGATATTCATGCAAGTCTTTCCCAGAACACCAATAGCATCTGAAATTACTGAAAGACTGTCATTGTTTTGTTTGCTTTCCCTCTCCAGGGCTGCTAGCACACTCTGGATCTCACTTTTTCTGAACAGATACCTTAGGTAGTTTAATTTTATTTATTCCTAATCTGTTTCCCTTGCTGCTTGCTGTGCGATGGCTCAAACCATTAGGGTTCTTTTAAGAAAAATTGAAGTCACTCCAGAACTTTGTAATCAAAAGCTTAAAACAAACAACAGTTCTGATCCTTTTACATTTTAGTAAAATGCAATTTTCTGCTCTGTACTCCCTGAGGGACTTATCTTTCAGCTCCCTTCTTTCTGACACAGACTGCTCTGTTACTACATTTGTGTTCTGATACATTGGTCATAGTTGCTTGAGTCACCCGTGGTGATGAGGCTGAGCCTGTGGACCAGGCAGGAGTTTCCCTTGCTGCTTGCTGTGCGATGGCTCAAACCATTAGGGTTCTTTTAAGAAAAATTGAAGTCACTCCAGAACTTTGTAATCAAAAGCTTAAAACAAACAACAGTTCTGATCCTTTTACATTTTAGTAAAATGCAATTTTCTGCTCTGTACTCCCTGAGGGACTTATCTTTCAGCTCCCTTCTTTCTGACACAGACTACTCTTGTTACTACATTTGTGTTCTGATACATCGGTCATAGTTGTTTGAGTCACCTGTGGTGATGAGGCTGAGCCTGTGGAGCAGGCAGGAAGCTCTAAATCTGAGCACCCTGTCTTTTGTACCAGCCACCAGGCCATGGGGTGTTTTTGCTGGAGAAGGAAATACACGTTCACTGTGCTGATGCCATCAAGTCCCTCCCCAGTGCCTGTACTCCTGTCTTTGTGGGAGTAATAAATTAAATTACCAAGCATCTGTCCCAGGAGCTGTCCTCCCTTCTCAGGGAACTCGTTGTGGCTGAGATCCAGCTCCTTCACTTGTTAATTGCCCTGCAGAGAGACAAATGTGCAGAGACAATGAGATCTTCCAGCCAGCTGCAACCAGCTGCCATGCCAAGGCCCTCACATGAGGATGAAACAGGGAGGATAGGAGACACACTGAGATCTTCAGTGCATGGGAGATCATCAGCACAATCAGAGATTGCAGCATTGTGTGTCCCAAAACAAAGCTTTGTCAGGCATATAGTATCACAGTGATTTTCTTCCCAAAACAGCAAAAGTAATGGGACTTTGTGTTGCACAAACTTCCCTCACACAGCACATGTCTGGTCTGCAACACATCCTGCAATTCTGTTCCTGTTTGTTTCACCCCCTCATTGCACCCTGACCAAAAGCACTTTCTGATAGCAGCTCAAGGTCTTGCTTCAGGGCAGCTTCTGGTGGTGCCAAATGATGCAGAATCTTTGAAACAGGAACTAACCAGAGAAGTCAAGCATCTTTTTACAGCAGAATTGCAAAATTATATGAAGTTGGGTTACTTAAGCTTCTCGAAAAGTTTTTGTCACCCAGATGTCATTCTGTTGCTCTGTTACACAGTCCTGAAGGTTTTTCTCAGCCAGACTCACACAGCTGTCCTGAGAAAATGTTAATGCAGTCCATCCTGCTCTGTGTCCTCCCAGTCTCTGTCATTTCTGAAGTAAGCAAGAAGCACTTAGCAGAATTATGCCAGGAAATCATATGAGCATTGCCAGGTGAAACCATGCCAAGTGAGTAGCAGCTTCAGATGAGAAGAGACTGTTACACAGCCAGGGCTGCAAATGACCTTGGATTTCAGGTAACTCACCAGGAATGTGTCAGCAAGGTATGATGCAGCCTCCTCTCCAAAGTTGTTTCCTGGGGAGGAAAAGTATATCAGCAGTGTGCTGATCTCTCCCTTGGTGCTGTGCTGGGGTCTGCAGGAAGCTGTGCTTTTAGCTGGACCCTCCACTTAATCACAGCCCCTATCAGGCTATAGGAAATCATATGAGCATTGCCAGGTGAAACCGTGCCAAGTGAGTAGCAGCTTCAGATGAGAAGAGACTGTTACACAGCCAGGGCTGCAAATGACCTTGGATTTCAGGTAACTCACCAGGAATGTGTCAGCAAGGTATGATGCAGCCTCCTCTCCAAAGTTGTTTCCTGGGGAGGAAAAGTATATCAGCAGTGTGCTGTGCTGGGGTCTGCAGGAAGCTGTGCGTTTAGCTGGACCCTCCACTTAAAAACAGCCCCTGTCAGGCTATAAAAAGTCAGTCACTATTCCACTTCACTCCACAGAGTAGAATTACACCAAGATGTGGGAGATGCTCCAGCAATTATCCAAGTTTCTCCTAAGTGACTGTTTTCAGAGGTGCTGGAGGCTGAGCAGGCCAAATATTTAATCACATCACTATAAATCTAGATTTCCACTGTTACTCTGGGTTCCCTTCAGAGACATAGCTGAGAGATTGATTTTGCCCGTAGTCTGACTCATATTCTCAGGATGAGAGACTGGAATGAAATGCATGTTATTTCACTTCCGCTGCCATCACTGTTTGGGTGCATACAGCCCACCTGAGAGCTGAAGAGCATGGAGGGAGGACAAGTTATCCAGAAGCAAACTGCCAATGTCGTCAGCTCCTGCTGTGTCTAGGTGGTTATTGGAGATGTTCTGGAAAGAAAGGAGGATCAGAAGGATGAGTCCAAAGAATGAATTAGCTTTATTGTCTTCTTAATGCCCAAGATATCAAAGGAATAGTGCAAGATAAGCAATATGAGAAATGTCAGCCAGACAGTAATTAACATGTGAGTTATAGATGTTTTTAACCTGGTATCCTTCCTAACAGGAGTAAAGCCCTACAGCCATCAGTTTGACATGGGTCTTTATCCTCAGTGAACCAAGAGGCGTTTGGCCAAGAGTCTTTTCTTCCAGTGTAACACAGATCCCATAGACTATCAAAATGCATTTTGTATACCCCAGTTTCAGATTGACGGAACATTCCTACCACTTCCTATCTGAAAGTTTTGCGTTATTCCCTTAATCTTTTTAGAAATGTTTCCTCATGTCATATTGGAGAATGAAAATTCCTGACTAAAACATTTTTCCCGTTGGCTAAGCATGAACTAGAAAGACTTAGTTATGGTAATTATTGTCACATCTGCTAATGAAGAGAACAGTTCCAGACTCACCAGACTGCCATCACATGCACACTTCTGCTTTTCAGAAGCTTGTACTTTGTAAAAGTAGAGCAGCATAAAATAGCGTGACTTTCAGAATGTGAATATTTTTACATGGGAACAATGGTTATTTTGTTAAAATCGTAATGGAATTAATTTGTATTCTTTCAGATGATTGAACTTGCAATAATTTTGGCTACAAACTAGGTTAGATTTGGTACCAGTTCTTGAAGGGAGGAATTCTCTCGTAGCATTTCTACTATGTATATAGCTCCTTCTGGCAGGATGCTGTTGTCTTCCAACTCTAGATGGGTGACAGTTGTGTTGGACTGGCAAGATACAAATATAAACACAAAAAACTGCTGAAAAGTTAATGAAGGGGATAGTTCCTTAGTTCAACAGACACTGAGCATTTTCTCCAAACCCCAGAACACATTACAGGTCCTGAGCAGGATGGTGATCAGGGGACGTGACAGAGCCATGACAGTGGGAATCAGCATACAAAAGACTTGCTTGTTTGGAGAGGTTTTAAGTGGGTAGGACCTTCCATTGCTTTCTGCCAGCCTGGGGACCCAGGTTCTGATCCAGGCTCCAATTCACAGAATCACACACAGAATCACAGAATCACTCGGTTGGAAAAGACCTCTGAGATCATCACGTCCAACCGTTCCTGTCTACCCACTAAACCATATCCCTAAGTACCTCATCTACCCGCTCTTTAAACACATCCAGGGATGGTGACTCCACCACCTCCCTGGGCAGCCTGGACCTGTCCATTGGTGAATGTAGCACATCCCTATGCAGGACCCAGAGTGGGGGATACCAGTCCCTCCAGCCCTACCTCTGGCATTAGGAGCACTGGGGACTTGTGTCCCATGGAAGAGTATCCGTTTGCTCTTGGGGGTAACTCCAGCAAAGGCCAGCAGTTGCCACACAAGACTTTCCTGTGCAGGGGATTAGAAACATTAGGGATGCTCAGAGCTCCTATGGGAAAAATACATGACTTTTTCTCCCACACTGTGTACTCAGTGATGGCTTCTAGGCCTGAGAGAGGCCTAAAATCCTTACTGTTCTTCAGAACAGTGCCCCCACTCTTAGTGATTACTCACCACCAGAGCAATAGCAATGGCTTTGACACCTTTGGGTCCTAGGCCATGGTGGTTCAGGTTTATGTAAGGCTTGTCCAAGGCTTGTTCTGAATAAAGTGTGAGACAGGCACCACCTCCACCAGCCTGCATGCTTCCAAGTACAGCTCTGTGCCTGTAATGCTTGCAAAGGCCTTCTCAGGATCTACAGAGAAAAAGTGTATCAATGAGTGGTTCATTCAGTGTGCTCCCTCCTCTTTTAAATAAATTAGGTAACTTAATAAAATCAAGTAACACTATGCAAAAACAGTAGGGTTTTACTCTTCAAGAGTTATTGTCCCCTGGTTCTCCCCTCCCTTTATCCCAGACATCCAAAAGTTAATGTTTCTTCCTTGCTCCTCCATTTGGCATCCAGTGATTTGCTGTAGCTTCTCACCAGTGGGCAATGTGACTAAACCTTTCCTGGTGTAATTGAGAATTCTTGACATCAGGCAAAAACATTTTCAGCTTTTTTTTTCTCCTTTTCTTTAAAGTCTTAATTGAAGCATACAGCTGATACTGCCAGCAGAGCTGGGGCAGCTCAGAACACTTTGGCTTACAACCAGTAGAAAGAATCCCAGCATTCTCATCTTGGCCATTGGGTGTTGTTGACACAGCTGCAGTAAAAAGTATCAGTGCAGCTGGCGGCTGTATTTCCACAAAAACCTGTCATTTGGAATTCCTTCATCAAACCCCATACTTAGAGCTCATATTTCTCCATGTTGTTATATGCATTCAGTGGTCTGACCTCAAGACAAACTCCCCTCTCGTCAAAGCCATTTTCCAGTTCAATCTGAGGCCTCTAACAAAAATGTCTTTTTTCTTTCATTCTTACAGTTTTTAAATTTTCTTTCTATTTATAACAAGTAAAGAAGTTCTCTTCCTAAATTATGGACAAACCCTACTGTTACAAAAATGAGTGCAATGCTTGTTTAGCTAAAGAACTGACTTCACTAGGCAGGAGATAAGAGGAAAGCCACCAGAAAAGTCTAGGACAGATGTGGCAAACCTATGGCACTCAGACCGCAATTGCTATGCAGTGTTTAATCAGGACCACATAAACAGGGCCTCAGCTCCACCCCTGGCTTCAGCTGCCTGCTCCTGCTGCCCAGGCTGCGGCTGGCAGTGTTGGTTATTAAAGATTAGAGGAGAGAATCACAGAACCATAGAATCATTTAGGTTGGAAAAGACCTTTAAGATCATCAAATCCAACTGTTAACCTAGCACTGCCAACTCCACCACTAAACCATGTCCCTAAGTGCCACATCTACTTGTTCTTTAAATACCTCCAGGGATGGTGACACAACCACTTCCCTGGGCAGCCTGTTCTAATGCTTCACAACTCTTTCAGTGAAGAAGTTTTTCCTAATAGTCTATCTAAACCTCCCATGGTGCAACTTGGGGCCATTTCTTCTTGTCCTATTGCTTGTTAATAGTGAGAAGAGACCAACTCCCACCTTACTACATCCTCCTGTCAGGTTGTTTCAGAGAACAATAAGGTCTCCCCTCAGCCTCCTTTTCTCCAGACTAAACAACCCCAGTTCCCTCAGCCACTCCTCATAAGACTTGTGCTCCAGACCCTTCACCAGCTTTGTTGTCCCTCTCTGGACGTGCAAGGAAAAGAAGAAACAAAGGAATAGTCATGGTGTATAGAGAGCAGTTGAAGGAAGATGCTTGACATCAAAGGGAGAGCTCTTAGAGGAACATTAATCCCCCCCACCTTTATCAACTGCCAGATTAGGTGTGGTTGTTAGGACCCTGGCTGGGTTGTGCCCTTTGTCTCTATTTTAGATGCATACCAGTTGGTAGGTACAGCTCTGTAAGGGGAAAGGCTAGTGAGGGCAGATGGTCAGAAAGCATTCACCTTTAACTTCTGAGTCAGTGTCAGAGCCTTGTGGGGGCTTCTCTGCTGAGGTGTCAGCCAGTGATGCAGACTCTGGAGGCTCGTTGGTATTGGACATCTGTTCATTCTGGTCTGCCATGAAACCAAACACATTTGTTTTGTCAGTGCAAGCCCAGCACAGAGGTGGCTCCCTGGATGTGACAGACCTCCCATCCCCCTCACTGAAGCCCGCACCCCTCTTCATCACGCTGGAGGTGCACTCCTTCCCCAGCCCTTCTTCGTGCCCACTGCTCCCTGTGCATTGTACACATGCATTGCTGGCATGGGGATGGCTCACTCTGGGGCTGCAGATCTGCAGACCGGCTGTAGCTTGGCAGCTTTTAGAAAGAGCCCACCCCAAATTCAGCAAGCAGCCCACGTGCACGGGACTCACAGTTCTGCTGCATTAGGTCTTCATTCCTCATGAGCTGCCTCTCTCCCCTTCCTCAGTTTCTGAGCCCACCAGGCAACAGCAAATTTCCCCTCTCCATCCCAGTTTCCCACAAGCCAGACCCATGCCAGTTCCTCCTTCCTGTCCTCAGCTGACTCACACTTCCCCAGACACAGGCAGGACACCGTTGGCTGACTCTATCAGCCTGGGTATGCTTTGTTATACCAAGCATGGCAGAAGGGAGAGCATTTGGATGCTGTTGTACATTGGGACTGAGTGTAACCAGACCCACTGGAAGTGATACAGCTTCTCTTGCCTACTATTCAGAATTTATTTTACGGTTAGAGAGTAAGAGAATTTGGAAAATTCATTTTTAAAAGGAACAAATGCATACAAAAATAGTGAAAACTGATTTTGCAGAAATGATTCCTGGCTAATAACAATATACATACTTTATTCGAATGCCTCATCTTTCTTTTCATTTCCTGTCACTGCTTTTTACTACCTTCTTCTTTTACTCCTTATTTCCCTTTAGAGCTTCGGGCTATTGGCCTGTAATTTTGTACCCTGCCTGAATGTCACTTAGCATCTTTGTGTGACATGGAGCTTGCAGTTTGGCTGCTCATGCAGACTTGTGTGAGGGAAAGACCGGCCAGCTGGCACCCACATCACCACATTTCAACCAGCCCTGCAGCTGCAGCTCCTTCATTAAGGCCGTTTCCTTCTGCCAGACTTTATTTGTTCAAATGATGGGTTTACTTGCATCACTTTAGCATGAGAAAGACAAAAGAAAGGGTAAAAATAGGTCTCTGGGTACGTTGCTTTATACTGTCCCCTCATTTGTGTTGTACAAATATTCGATAAATCACGCTATCAATTTATACTTCAGTAGCTCTGTGGAGTAGCGAAAATGTTTATCATCTTTTGCCTCTTGTTGTGACAAGGTCCTAGTCTTAAAGTCTTAAATATAAGCATTATTTTACAGTCTGTAAGGAATCAGTTGTTTCAGTGGTGTGTCAAACCTTATGATTATACTAACTTGGGTGTATGAAGTGTTGGAGTAATCCATGAGGAAGCAGCTACAAGATGTTGATTTTGTATCTAAGCAAAGTCTAAGCAAAATATTTAGGAATGAATATCCTAAATGTGGTAATTTATTGAAAAATTGAGAAATTATGTATACAGTTGTTTAGAGAAAAAAAACTGTGTGTGCTTTAACTTGGTCAAGGTTATCAGATCTTAATTGGATAAGATATCTGAAGACTTTTAGAGAAATTAAAAACAAATATGTTAGATATTTGTGGAAAAAACCCCACCATCTTTTTTTCCTCCCTCTTAATATAAATAGTTTAGACCAAGACACTTTGACAAGATTTTGCCTCTGGAATATGGTAGGATTAACAATTATACCATTCTCCTTGCTGCTACTGCCAGTCATATTCAGCCAGCATTTTACCCACAATTATTTAATCCAATCTGTAAGGGAAAATGACAACCAACTATTAACTGACCGGGTATTTCCTAGTGATAATACTGTCAAAAACCTATGAGAAATAGTAATTTTAATGTAATCATTTGAGCTTGATAGCAGGTAATTCATTATGTTGGATCCCACTTAAGGAGGATCATAAGACAGAACATAAGTTTCTGCTTATACATAAGAACATAAGGCTGCTGGTAAGAGTTCTCCTTTCCTTTGAGTCCATATTCCAGTTTGTACAATTTCACATGAGAAAGCCAGACTGCAGCAGTTACAGTCTCACAGAGGATGAGGATAGAAGGAGTGGATTCACCTTCTTAGACTTGAACAGATTCAGACTTTCCTACTGCCAAATTCCTGGTACGTTTGTTAATAAAGTGTGGCTTGTAAACATGTCAGCGCTTCATGATGCCTCGAATCAAGTACCCATTCATCCCACCGACTACTACGGGTACCAAAATTGTTTCAGTGCTTATTATTTTACACCATTTATACTGAGAACTTTGTGACTTTTCCTAAGGGGCTAAAACCAAAACTGTAACAGAAGAGGCTTTCTGATAAAAGTTGTTCAGGACTAATACATACGCTTAGAAATCTTTCCATTATGGACAATGCTCAGCAAACATAATCTCTTGTACAGATTTTGAAGTTTATGTAGCCTACAGAGTGAAATATGGGCTATACAGAGAGGAAGAGAAAGTCCATTTCCCCAAGGATAGGGTATTTTTAGTGGTTTTATTCCCCTGGGTTCTACATAAACCTCTCAAGTAGTCCACTCATTAGAGGCCATGGCAGGGTTATATTTGGATATGGAACAAAATGCTGCAAAAGCCAGTTTGACCCTGAAGCAGATGACTGTTGTTAGCTTTGATTTTATTGCCAAAGTTTGTAAATATTTTTTGTAATGTAGGCCAGACAACTGTGGCTGTCTCGATACTTGCTTGTTTGTGGCACCGGCTAGCATTCTTCTCTGATTTGTCTGATTTTCCTGATGTGGGTTAGGTCTGAAGATACTTTTTTAGATCTTTCTTTTTAAAGAACAGCCTTGTTTTAAATCCCCCAGCCATCAGCCCTTGATGTTGTGGATCCTTTCTCTGGAGAACACCCTCTATTTTCTGAGTAGAAACCAATGGTGGTTTCCAGAGGTTTGCTTATTGCAGCAGGAGATGGGAGACCACAATCCAGTTCTGTGCTTTGCCAGACATCTGTGGGATTTGAGACAAGCCACTGTCTGTGGTGTGTGGTGTTTTGTAACTGGTGGTATTACTGTTTATATACATTGTAACATCAGCTCAGATTCTAGTCATGGGCACTCATTGTGCTAATGACCATACATGAATAGGATAAGAGGCAGGTTGTGCCTCAGAGAGTGTTTTATCCAAGTGTAAGTCATGAGACAGCAGCTGGTTGGCATCAAGGGAGCAGTCTGGCAGCGCTCATCAGCTCAAAAGGCAGGGATGTCAGACGTCTTGACTTCATTGCCAGTGCTTGTCTTAAAGAGAGTTTGGAAGAAGGGTACCAAGATCACACATTAGAGGTGTATGTTTGGTGTAAAGAGCTGTAGTGGTGCTCAGTTTGATCTGTTTGCCTTTGTACACATTGGACTGTGGAACAAAGCATAACATTAAAAACTTGGGCTTCAGCTAGGACTTCTCTTTTCATGAGAAACTAGCTGGTTTCAACATGTGATGGGTCTCAACTTGCAAAGGCCACAGCCAGGTGAGAGGGTGGGATTTTGCACACCCATGGGAGACAGCACGCTCCTGCACCTCTATTTCACCTACCTGCTTGTCCACAAAGCGGCTGTGCTCTGCAAAACCTTGACTGTTGTCAACTGTGGTTGCAAAGCCTGTGTAATTATTAACTCAACTGGAGCAAATGGGACTTTATTTGCTCTGCAGCTTTCCAGGGGGAAAAAATTCCTGGAAATTTTCCTTTTTGTTTGGGTTTCTCGGGAACAGGGCATGAAAACTTTTGTTTGAAAACACAAATTTCAGGGTGACGGAGCCAGAAAGCCGCCGTCACCCTGCTTA